GAATGAACTATGGATGAACACCAACGTTAATGATTGTTTTTTCACTCACTGTGTTTTATCATGAATGAAACATATTACATCGCAAACAAGACGCATAACGCCTTGTCAAGAGAGAGGAAATTCTTTTTATTCAATCTGTAAGTAACTCTTTCCGTCTACCGCGCACTTTGCTATGAATTACAAGGGGCTGTCCTTCGTAGAATTCACTCGTCGTCGCATCGGAGGCAACAACGTCTCTTCTTCATTCATACGTGTCCAGAATCATTGACCGCGACCACAACTACGTGACGGGATGACGGCCGCGCCTTGGGAAAGAGGACGAAGGGAGGCGTGCGCGGTTCAAGAAGTTTGGTTCTCCGGTAAGGGAATGTACACTAGAATCTTGAAAGTGCTCCACGTGGCTCGTAAGGGGCTACTTCGGAATGTAACGTACAACCTCGGCGTTGTCACGAACGTCAAGAACATTCGAAAGGATTAGTTACTTCAACGGGCTCCTGCGCTTGCTTGCGGTTTATTTTGGTGCACCGTACTGGCTTAAACAGCTAACAACGCATCGTCCTTAACCTTTTTTTCGTTATACTTTCGATATTTTTATATTTGTTCACGAAAAGAGACCGGACATCGCGGTCCTAAGAAAAGTCTCCTACAGAAAATGCTTGTAATATATAACATTCAGAATTATACTTGGAGGATATAAAAAGGCTCCACATCAATGTTAATTTCATACTTTACCATTTTTAAATGCTAAACAAATGTCTCGTATTTAAGAACGCGTATATAATTATTAGAAAATATTTAAATTTAAACGTTTAAAAATTAATCTAAATTAATTTAACTTATTATAGTAATTAATAACTAATTTCGATGCCTACGATATTTTATGTAAAGAGAACTTGCTCCTTTCCTAATCATTGTCATTACGGAGTTTTGTAGCAAGAGTGATAATCGATGTGCTCATCGACCGATTTGACACAGTCGTGTTAATTAAGAGTCAGAAACTTACGATGGCCTGTTGATCGACCCCGTTCGGAGGCGGTGGCGGACTGAAGCTGGCAGCGGTCGGCGCACCAGGGGCGGCGGGATGGGGTGCGCCCGCCGCAGGCGGCACCTGGGGCCCGCCGGTCGGGGGTGGTTGCTGGGGCGCACCGGCATTCTCCTCCTTCACCGTCACTGGTGGCGGTGGCTTAACGTCACCGGCTGCACCGGCCGCCCCCACGACACCCGCGACCCCGTTTACCGGAGGAGGGAAGACACCCCCACCATAGGGCGCAGCCATCCCTGTCTGCACCATATGCTGGAAAAAATTTCTTGTGAGTTTCAATGCTCAATCAAAGCGACATAAGATTAAGGGCAAGGATAAATTAAAGGGTTATTTTAATATCGACAAATGCACTGGAAAAAAAAAAATTATATCAACAATATTATTTGTATCGAAAATAATTGTATTAAATTAATAACGCTATTTATGAAACGAATACGTGCTCTGGTTTTAATAACATTTTATTCGTTCCATTAATAGTTATGAATAAATAAAATTATTATCGGTTAAAATAATGTTATTGATATAACATCTTTTTCAGTGTGTGTGTGTGTGTGTGCGTGCGTGCGTGTGTGTGTAAACGTGACTTCAATGACTCGAAAAGTTTAGGATTTCATACAAGTTCGTTTTTACTTGTAAGACTACTAAGAATAATGATAACTTAATTAATTTATGATTATGATTTGGTTATTTTTCTTATCATTATTTATTAATACAATATTTATTAATACAATATTCAATTTATTCAATTAATTATACGTATCAATATTAATATAAGTTACAAACTTCGAATCAACAACAGAAAATTGATAATTACTAATTAAAACTTTCTGATGTCTATCAGATTTAAATAGTTACTAAATTATCCTGTCTATCATATAATTATTTTACATTGATTTTATATGATCTAATAAATCGACAAATGGAGACATGTTCTAACTTAAAGAAATGAATTAATCTCGTAATTTTTAATAAAATCAAAACACACTATTTATAATTTGTAATAATTTAAATAGATAAACAGATATCTTATTACATATATCTTATTACTTTCTCTAACGTTATAAACACTGTCTCGTCCATCATTCGCAATTTAAGGAAGAGAAATATTTTTCTTACTGTAAGTAGGTTTGATTCAGTTTTTCTGATCTTTCCGAGATCGTTAGAGATGAAAGATAATGGCGAAAATGGCGTTGCCAATTTTTCGTGCGGTGGCGAACTGTTCACCGTGACCGCAGGCAATCGTACTCATAGTAGAAAGATTTCTGGCAATGTTCCATTGGAATGTCGTGGCGGGCCACGATTGGTTGAATAATACCTCAACGCGAACCTAGTTCGGTAAAAACATTCTTATCCCAAAACTATAAAAAAGCTAATCTTTCTCGTCTAAAGTCGAAGCTTGATTCTCTTTTTTATAAAATTCACAAATAAATCCACACATAAATATTTCAGACAAAAAATATCCTTGTTAATATCGGGCTTAAGAAGTTGGATTAACAATTTGCTAAATAAAAAAACTATAAATACTTTTAACCTTCCATTACTCACGTAGGGTGTTCAGAAACATTCCCACCTTAGAAATTCACTAAACACATGTACGAATGCTATTTATATAAATTATAATGTTTTGTGAAAATTATTTTACAATTTAAAAACAATTTTTGCATTTATCTTTATCTAAAAGATGCCTATATAGAATATTATCAATCTTCATTTAATTGTAAATAGCTAAAGAGACTATTGAAAATTAAGATAAACTGAGGTGTCCGAAACACGCCATATAAATAATCATATTTTAAAACATCATACAAGTAATGTAGAATTAAATACTTAAATTGCATCAGATAATAAATATGTAATGTGGATATAAATTAATCATTGTATAATTCGCGCGTTAAATATATACTATATTAAATATATTATAAGAAATAAAGCTATGATAAAACATTTCGCTGTTCACGAAGATACAACTCTATAAAGTATAAATTTTTATATACTTACAATTTTTACTTTGAGATCGTTTATTAAAAGTTATAAAAATTCTATATCAGGTAAAAATGATCAATTTTAATTGAACGATTTATTTAAAAAACAGGTTTATGAAACAATAAAAAATTCTTTCAGTAGCTAAGTGCATGTGAAAAATTATCAACGTTCAACCAGGCTTTCTAGTTTCGCTACAAGGCCAGATAGTTTAAGTAGAGACAATTTTATAGAACGTGTAAAAGGCGGAGAAGGATCTGCGGGACGGCAAACGATTTACTATGGACAGCAGAGGGTAACTATAATTTATGGTACGCCCCCGGGCTGTGCCATCCACAATCTCGCGCGTGGCAGGTTACAGATGGTTTGTCCAGTTTCTCCCTTCTCTCGAGATTATTTCTGAACGCTACCCCTCGACCTCGCTCCGCTGCGAGAGACCAAAGAGCCATTTGTTATTCCTACCTTGAACATTTTTCTGAAAACTCGATTTAGACCGGATTTCACCGATACGCACCGGCCGCGCGAGCGAACGGAGATGAAGCCGGGCGAGGAAGGGCCCTTTGTTAAGTCTGAGAAATGAAGAACGTGGTCTCAGTAATTATGGAATATCCGACATCAACAAAGTGCAGCAGCGATCCAGATGATTCCTCGCGTCTGATTACGATAGCAGGGCGTATGATAAATTAACAGATGTCGTTTATATGAAAATGTCAGAAGTAATGACTGTGTAAGAACAGAAGTGTGATTTATCATTTTATAATACGTGACGCCATACAAAAGCAATGAGAAATACATAATGTAATATATCGTATGAAAGCAATGAGAAATACATAATATATCATAAATGCATATGTGCAGAATATATTGTGCCTTTTAATTGTAAAATTGATGTTTAATATTTAAAATGCATAATTATAATCCATGTCGATATCGTCAATAATGAATCCACACACTTATATAATAAATCTAATTTCATTTAATTTCATTTATATTATATCATATTTATTTTTAGCTTTTACATTTATTTTTATTATCTCAGAATGTGATTTCTTTGAAAATCAATTCCGTAAAGTTTGTCAGCAACTGCATTCGCTAGCAAAGCTGTACACGAATATGAAATTGTCTTTTCAAAGAAGTTTGTAACACGAAGACAATTTTTTTCCATCCGAGATTTAATTACGGATATTCATACAAATAGAATTCTAACAAAACCGCGAAAAAAAAACTGTTAGAACAAGATTTCAAAAGTCTGATCACGATCGGTGATTTACATTACCAAGCAAAATCTAACGAACACAATGAATAGAAACAAGAGAGGTAATCTCTGCGAGGAAGTATACATTGTTCATACAAAAGACAATCAATGAAAGGATACGTGGAGCAGTGTACTCCACGTGTGAAGAAATCCCTTTAGAAAAGCCTCGCGGCGAATGAGAACTGAAACTAAGTTTAAGCGAAATCGAGGAAAGTCGCCTCTGGCTCTGCACATCACATTCCCCTTCTATCGGCTTTCTATTCCGCAAGCGTAGCTTAATCAACGAAAGGGACAGGATAAGAAAAAGGAGAGCGTACACGCTGAAGAACGTGATCCCGAACCGACCTAATTTTCTATCCCTGACACGGGAAATATGTCTTCCGATTGGCTGAGATAAAGTCACGACTCTTCGTCCTGATCACGAAGATAAAGAACATTAGGAAGGATTAAAAACGCATTAATCTCCCTAATCGATAAGTACGAAGAAATATTATAGATTTAACTTCCCGATCATTAACTGCTCCCGTTGATTGATTTTTCTAATTTGTTTAGAATCAACTCGTTCGCGAATACGAGAAAATCCTGGCAAAAGTTTGAACTTTGCAATATAGTCGAGCGTAGATATTTCTTCGTATGTCGTAATAGCTGCCGGAAGTTGGAATGCGGCATGTTAAAATTAAACTCGAGTCACGTCAAATCGTATCAAATTCAAGTCACGTTCATAAGCGGAGCTAGAAGGAAGTTTCTGTCTGCCACGAATAAAATATTACGTTAAAATTATTCGTGTTAGCAGACAACGGAATGCTTGTTGTGACACGGACAAATAATTTTAAACAAAAATTCTTTAAATAATCGCAGAGATTTGTCAACGTTGCAAATATCGCTTTCAAATCTTTTTCGAAGGATTAAGTATCTCGGGCACCCCCATTGTCGAAGACTTCCAAGATAAAATTCTCAATTCCATTTTAGTGAACGGTTCGTTCTCGCTCGGTCAACGACAGTCTAACAGTTCTTTGTCGTCTGCTCCTTCTTCTTCCCCCTTTTTTTTTTTATAATTGTGAACAGAGCGAGACTTCCCGCGAGCGGTAGTACATACAAGGGACCATTCAGAGCATGCTTCCCCTTCGGCGTCAGCGGAGCGTATCGCCATCGCTGGGCCTTACGGCGATCGCGTGCGCGAGCTCGAGGAACGTAATGAAAAAAAAATTTTAATGACCCCAACGTTAATTCGATCAGCTACCTCGGGCGTAGAGAATGAATGACGAAATGCACGGCGCTCCAGTGCCGTTTCTGCTCGGTATAATGCAATGCGCTCGCGTTGCCGTTGCTTAATTGGATACTCCAGGCGAATGATTATTCGAACGGTTACGCGAATTGTCGATTCATCTTCTATTGGGTTCACACGGATTATTATGAGCATCGTTGAGTCTGACATAACCCTCTTAGCTATTTTAAACTAAATTTGAATTGTATTATAATTAAAAGTCAATATTTTTGCGAGAAACTTTTATTTTAATTTCAAACAATTTAATTATGCATTAATAGTAGAAGAAACAATTTTGCTGAAGTATTTAAAAAATTAAGTTATAGATGCAGATATGGAGATAATTTTGTTGAATCGTCAAATTAATTATGTTAGGAAATGAACGTCCTGCATACGTAATTAGCTTGGTCCAAAATTACTTTCAGATCTATATCTCTTTAACTAAATTTGTGTATCTTTAATAAAATCATTCTTTTCGTGTGAATTTTAATTTTATAAATTGTAGTTTTTTTTTTTTTAATTTTTAATATAAAAAATCATCAAAATAACATAGAATTTGAAAGATTTTAAGGAAAGAAAATAATTTAGATATATATTGTATTTAATATAAATTATATGAAAGAAGAGATAGAGAGGGGCGCGAAGAGATGAAACTTTAAATAAATAAGATCGTATTACTTCATATCGCTTGCCCTTTGATTTTCAGAACTTTGCACACCGCAGAATTGGCAAGGATGATCGTTACAACCTAAA